CTTTCTGCAACTGGGGAAGGAAATAGCTCAGCGAATCGCTTATCACCCTGAGAATCCTCATGTTTGTGTGTGTGTGTTCTGGTGTCAGTGTCCTGTTGAGCTTCACAGTGATTCTGTGTGTATTCGAAGTTACAGAGAATGCTGAATTGGTCAACAGTTGCAAGTGCATTTGTGTGATCAGTGCACTCAAAGTTTATATAAGAAATGGTGAAAATCTGTACTGACCACAGGGCAGAGACATTAAGCAATGTTCGTTCGTGTATGAAGCCACCTTAAATGCTGCATACTGCTTGCCTTCCAGAGTTAGCATATTTCATGGCCAAGAGTTAAGACTCTTCTGCAGATTAGGCTTTCTGTTTTTACCACAATCATTGTTATGGCTTGACTAAGGTGTTGTTATGTATGAAGTAGCTGCTTGGTCACCACTTTTCCTGTCTTCAGTTAAAAAGAGACGTAGTTGCCATTTTTAATAGGCTATTGCAACCAATGATGAGGAGAGGTTGTTTTAAAGTGAATTTAGATTTTAAAAATAAACGGCATTTGCATTAGCTCTTGATAGTAAAGCCTTTATTTAGATCTGGTCTCGGTGAGGAATGGTACAAGTGAGACCAACCTCCTTGGGAGTATATCCCTTCAAACTCCAGCACACAGATTTATGTTACTGGTTCAATGCAGGTGGGAAGTCAGACTTGAAACTCTGTTGCCTGCTAAGATTGAACATAAATTCCCTATACTTCTAGAGCTTCATTAGCTTCTTGTTTTTTTTGAGTCCATGCAATTGGCCATCTTTTTTTCTTCCCTGGATCAGTGATCTTCAACATTAATTTTATGTTGTAACTTGATGGATTAAAGGGCTGCTGACCTGATGTGAAGCACTGTGGCCAGTTATGCTGCATACCCAGAGCTCCCAGTGAGCATGGGCTTCCCTGTTCCTGGAAACAGCAGTGGCAATCCACATAGGCACGCACAGTCTCTAGCTGCCGTTGCAGTGAAGAAACACATACTTGTGCATGCAAGACACACTGGTGCCTGCATACACAGAGAATCCTAAGTTGGATGGTTGTGTAACATGTATTTATAATAATAATCAAGGTGGCAATGAAAGAGGCGCATTTCATTTTGGCATTCGCTATGTCCAAGTGGTCCAAATAATTGGTCTAAATAAAAGGTGGCCTGTTTGCTTTTTAAGACTGGGTGGATGCCTCGAACCTGATCATGTTCTTAATAATATTGTTCTAAATTTCCAATATTTTCTATTTTCAGAAAGGTGCTCAGCTCAAATGGCAGCTGCTCTTAATTGATCATTTGGTAGCTGACCCTAAAGAAATAGCTTTCATACCAGTATCAAGTGCAGCTCTCCTCAGGTGACTTTATTTTGCGAAGTCAAAACAAAGCTGACCCCCTCCACACACGATCGCTTGCAATGTTCTGTATTTGAAGAGAAGTAGCTATACAAACAAGCCTGTAAACCATGTACATAAGCTTTACTTTATAAAACACGGAGTGTAAAGATCTTTCATGTATGTTATTATTTATAACACTTTTGGATGTCTAACAATAAATTTTAAGTTTCATGTTACTTCAAAGTATATTTGTTTTGATTATTTGAAATGTATGGGTGCTATACATGCAATAATGGTGATCCTAGGGATATACATTAAAAGTAAAAATTGCTAATGTCTCCTCTTGACAAAGAGACATGAAATGAGCTTGTGTCACTTGGCTTCTCCCAAACATAACAGTGAGTACTTGTGAAGAATGCTGTAATTGGTCTCAAGTACATCTGTGAGCAGCCCCAGAAAGGGTTGTGTGAACATAAGGTATATTTGGGAGTAAGGAAACAATCCTAAGCAGGCCTTTTCAGAATCCAGCTCAGGTCTATTCAGTGGGGCTGACTCCTAGAAAAGCGTAATTAGTCCCATTGAACTGTTTGACTTGTTTCCAAGTAAATACAAATAGGTATCAGTTAAACAAATGTAGAACTTTGTTTATTGTAAATAGGGCAGTATACTTACACCACCTTCAATATTCCTAATGGAAAGTGTTATCTGTGGAGCAATATGTTGCCTATACAAGAGCTTAAACACTACTGTAGGTTGTTAACAAAAAACAAATTGCTAAATGTTCTCAAATAACTGAAGTCCTGATGGTCTGAACACTCTATTGTACAGATCAGTTTAGTCATTTTAGCTTCTATGGAAAGTTCGGGCTTGCTCTGATGTAACTATTTTTGTTTTAAATTATTCTTCTCTGACATAAAAAAAAGTGTCATAGGTAACTTGACAGTATTTTAACTGAAGACAGAAAGTTAAGCTATAGGGGAAGAGGCACTATAGGATTTT